GGCTTAAAGGTAGAGCGCTCGCCTAGCATGCTTGAGGCACTGGGTTTGATCCTCAGCACCACATAAAAATTGATAGTGTCCACCTATAACTAAAATATAAACATTAAAAAAATAAAAACGGGACAAGGCCCTAGGTTAAAGAACGGTCCTATGGAGTTTATAGCAAAGATCACAGCAGAGGATCCTTGTCTGTATTTTGTTTTTCAGAGCTGAATACCAAAAGGCAATTACAAAGAAAGCAAATAGCTGAAATCGGGTAAAAGAGACCAAAAGAAAACAAACTTTACAAATCATTGTTCTCATAATGATCTGTGATACATTAACTTTATCACAATGGCTTTGAAGGACTTTCCCCTCTGCCAGCCCTTAAAAAGTTCAGCTATTCGCCCTTAATCCTCCCAGGGAAACAACATTCTCTTTCCAGGCTTGCTATGAGCTAAGGATTTTCATTTGGTTTGTATTCCTGGACCTCAGCCACAGAGCTTTCCCATCTATCTAAAACTTGATTATTTCTGTAAGGGCTCTCTGTTCAGGTGTGTTTTTACCATGAAACATTCATAAGACCACTAGATGGAAATAACTCTGTGATACTCCAAAATGTGGATTATCTGCATGGCATATAACAATTTCCACCCTGTTCTTTAAGAAGACCTCTTAAGAAGAAAATGAGCATCTAATTCATTTTTGTCTTCCTGGTACTTTTTCCCATTCCCACCACATTCACCTCAGCACTCAGTGAATGTGCTTCAAATCAATGACACACCACAGGTAATCACACAGTATAGGTCATTTATTTTCCCTCTCAGTACATAGATGGTTTCTCTTCACCCTTTGGGTTGACAATTTTCTCTAGGTTGCTGATGATGATATGATAAAGCTCAGCCTGCAGGAAGGGCAGAAAAGCAGGAGTTAGGTTCTTAGCCTCCAGCACCACCCCATCCATCCACTTCCCTTAGGAGTCTATTCCACACTCACATAGAAGGCCCTGAGGTCCAGAACCATGGCCCTGAGCTCCCCATAGGCTGCCTCATCTCGCTCATGCACTAAGGCCCGGTAATCCATCTGGGATACAGGAGGCAAAGCTGAGTCAGTCCCATGGGAGGCTGGATTATCAGTTTGGTTTCCTCATATAGGGAATAGGTAACTTGAAGATAAGCTCCTCCTACTCAGCACCAAGGAAGGGTATCCCATAGGATAAGGCAGAAGAAAATGTCATGGTTGTGGAAGCCCAAACTAGGCAATGCTTTTTCTTTTTCTTTCTTCTGTAATTTTTTCTTAAGTTTTTAGGGGACAGGGTTTTTTTCTTTGTAAATTTTTGTAATTACTTTTTTTAAGAAATATTTTTGGTTTAATATTCTCCACATTGGGAAAGTCATGAAGAAGACCTCTTCCCACCCATCTCCAGTCCCACCCATAGTCAGTCAGCTAAAAGACTGGTGGGCTATGCACTCACTACATGGGTCTCCTTGGAGGCCTTGGCCACAGCATCCCCACGTTCTGAGAAGTACCTGTCACAAGCAAAGGATATAACATGGCAATCTGTGTTCAGGGAGATATATTCAAATCCCCTTCCCAGAATCTCCCATCACCCTGATAGGACTGCCTAGCTTTGGCAGTCCCAAATGAATGTCCTTGCAGCCTTTCATGCAGCAGCCCTCACTTGGAAATGGTTGTCTGAAAGGCTTCCACTTTTGTCTTCACAGCATTCACCCTCTCCAGCACCTTCTCCTGTGGTGACATGGGAGGCAAAGAGAATACTTCATCTCCTATCTCCTTCATTAGCTCCCTTTCCACCTAATTCATGCATAACTCCTGTGTCTCCCAAGTTTCCTTTCTGTGTCCTCAGTCACTCTTTTCTTACCTGGATTGCCACCCCAAAATCATTTCCATCCTCAATCTTAGGGATCAGATGCTGGATCCAAGTGATCACCTACATTAAGAGGAAGAATCATTCAACAAACCTACTGGGTTCTTACGCCACTTTCTAATAACAGCTCAATTTAATTGAGCACTGATTATATGCCAGGCTTTGTGCTATAAATTATTTATCTCATTTAATTTTTAATTGTCACGTGCATGTTTGTGTGTGTGTGTGTTGCAAAACTGTGGATACAACCTAAGGGCACTCTACTACTGAGGTATATCCCCAGCCCTTTTTACTTTTTATTTTTGAGAGAGAATTTTGTTAAGTGACCAAGGGTGGCCTCTATCTTGTGATTATTCTGTCTCAACCTCCCTAGGAGTCACTATGTCTAGCCCAACTTATATATTCTTATTGTACTCATTTAACAGATAAAACACCAGAGTCACAGAATGTCTCCTCTGCCACCCTGCCGAGTTACAGAATGTCTAAGTGACTTAGGGTTATCAACTTGGTGAGAAAATAAGGATTTGAACCCAGATTCCCTCTAGGATCCACACCTTTAAACCAATTCACTCTATTCCATCATCTCCACTGTGTACCTGATACAGCAATACAATATGAGATTATAGAGTGGATATAGCAGTCTCAGATTTCAAGGGTGCTACTGTAATAGCAAAGGTCTAACAGAATTAGAACAAAGGGGATCTAAACCCAAAGCACAGACGGAAGTTTCTTTGTTTGGGACTAGGTCTCTGGATGACGGCCTTGCATCTCTGAAGGAGATATTTATTTTCTCTTCCCACTTCTCCCAGTTCCCAGGCTTACCAAAATACATTTCTCTTTGAGAGTCCAGACTTCTGGCTTAACTAGAGCAAGCAGGGCCAGGACCTTCTCATTCCCGGGGAGAAAGCCACACTTGGGTACTGTGAGAAAGAAGGGATTTGGGTCCTTTCTCCTCTAGTAGTCAGTGTGTCATTTCCCCTTCCCTGATCACCCCTTCCTCCATTACCTTCTTTCTTCTCCTGCTTATCTGTTTCCATCTAAGGCAAGAACAGGGTAAAGAAGCTTTCTTTAGAAAAGTCATGGAGGCCAAAAGGCTATCAGCTCAGTTGGGTTTATAGTCTAAACCCTGTACCGTGGGTGCCTCACCTCATCATCCTTGGGTGGGGGGTCTGGGATGGGTATGTCCAGAGGGGCCCGGAGGGAGGTCAGGTCAGCCACATTGAGGGAGTCCTCCTGCACAGAGTTCAGTGTCAGTGCTGCCCAGCCTCTTCCCTTCACCCTAAGTCATAGCCTTCCCTCTACACATTCCATTTGCCCTTTGCTTTGCAATCTAGGCTCAGGCCTTACATACCATTCTGATACTCTCAATCCACAACTCACAATTGTTCTCTGTGCACTGAACCCAGTTGATAGTTAAAGAGGGTGTGCAGAAAGGAGAGGCCACAGGATGGGGCAGAAGGGACCCACACTACTCACGTGCAAAAGCTGACTCAGGTACATGATTTTCTGTGGCAAGAATCTGTAGAGGAATTCCTCAGCCTGTGGGTTACATTGCAAGTTTGGGGAACCATAGAAGGCCATCAGTGAAATGTGTGAAAAGTGAAACTGGACAGGCCCTTGGAAATTATTGAGTTACAAATGAGGAAACTGAAGTCTTGGAAATGATGGGACTTGACCATGATTGTAAGTGTTACAACCAAGTTTAGGACTGAGGTGTTCCTGCTTTGAGGGTCATGCCTTTCCCTCCCCATCAAAAGAGAGGAGGAAAGTGGGGAAGAATTCTTAGAGGGTCAAATTAAAGGTAGAAATCAAAAATTAGGAGTTCATCCTGGGTGTAGACTTGGTAAGGAAAGTAGGGACAAAGTCTAGGGTGGATTTGGGGTCACTGAGGGGTTGTGACACAAACATTGCTCTAAGATTCTGGGCCAAATCACTTGAATTCAGAGACTTACCTCCTGGAAAAGATTTTGTCTGAAGACATCCACCTGCAGACAGCAATACCCGGATGTTAGTTTAAGAGTTTTTCAGTTGACAAGAGTAAGATTCCAGCCCCAAAGGGTTGCCATCCAACTGTGGCTATGGCCTTTTCCACAAGTCAGTTTTCCTTGGAAGTCCCCTCTCCAGTACAGAAAGAGATGAAAGGGCAGGAATCTGGAAATTACCATACAGAAGTGAAAGCACTACAGACAGGTTGGGGGAGTTCTCTGGCACGGCCTCGGTCCCCTAGAGCACCCAGCTTGGCCTCCATTAGAAGGGTTCCCGTCCCCCCCCGCCGTCTCCGTCTTGGTTTCCGGTTCCCCGTTACCTGTTTTCGGGCCTCCCCACTCAGGCGCACCCCACAAGGCTTGGCCATGTTGCTCCAGTTGCCAAATCTTCGATCTCCGGGACTCTAGCCCCGGCTTTCGCTTTCACTCCCTGTGTCCAGGCCCGCCCCCCTCAGTCCCGCCCCCTTTCGGCTTACCCCCTCCCACACACACACCCTCTGTCGGGCTGCAAAAAGTAGGTAGTCCCTCAGCCATTCCCAGCCAGTTGCCACTAGGAGGGGCGGTGCTGCCTGGGTCGCAAGCTCAGGGGCTGTCCAAGGGAGGGACTAGAGTGGGGGCTTGGAGACTGGAACGGGGGATGTTCCTCGGAGAGGGGCGGGGCTTAGGGCGAGGGCAGTCCCGGGGAAGTCAGGGTTGGAGAGGGGTGGAAGAAGGGAAAGTGGGAATCTGGTGTCTGGGGTCGCCCGAGAGGGTTCAACTCCGCAGGGAGGACGGAGAAGGATCCGAGCGATGGGCAGAATAGTAAGAGAGAAGGTGTGGGGCGGAGGCGGGCTAGCAGGATGTGGAAGAGAGCAGGCGCGGAGAGGACGCCTTGCCTTGAGGACAAACAGGAGAGGGGACGGTCAGAATCGGGTCCCCGGCAGGTTGGAATCCCCCGGTGGGGACCGGAGCGTAGCAGAATGCGCGGAATAGAAGGCTGCTGTGAGCGAAATAGGTTAACCCCACGCCTAGGGCTACCCGGAAGGAGCGGAATCAGCCTGCAGAAAGGCGGGGAAGGACTCTTAAATTTGAGAAAAATGCTGGGAGGTGCTGAGGGAGGAGCCTGGCGGTTTACTTCTTCATTGGTTGGAACACTGTTACCCTTCTAGGCCGCGCCCTGTCGTTTCCCGACGTCCTCCTTCCTTACTAAATCCCTCCTCTTCCTCCGAAAGGGGTGGCAGTCCCGCCCTCTTCCCCAGTACTTCCTGTTCCAGACTACCCCTGGCCCTGGGCCGGAGACCCGAGAGTGACCGAGCTTTGAGTGATACCCGGAGGCTGCGGGGAGCTAGTCAGGCCGCAGAGTCCGACGTCAGGCGCGAGGGGTGACTCTCCGGCCTCGCGCACACTGCTCCGGGTCCTGGCGGGCGGCGAGGCTGGGGCCGACTCCTATCTCGGGATGCCCGGGGAGGAGGAGCAAGCCTTCCTGGCTGCCCGCAAGGAGCTGGTGAGCGCCCTGAGGAAGGATTGTGGACAGACATTTTCCCTGGAGCAGCTTCGGCCACTACTGGTCACCTCCCTACCGCCAGCCGCCCGCTACCTGCAGCTGGACGCCACACGCCTGGTCCGCTGCAACGCCCGTGGGGAGGTGAGACCAGGCTCTCCCAACCCAGCTCGGGAGGAGGACATAGGTCCTGAGGCCAGAGCTAGGCTCACTGGTCTGCTCTCTGCTCCCAGCCCCGAATCTACCTCAATACTCTGTCCACGGCCCTGAATATCCTGGAGAAATATGGCCGCAACCTCCTCAGCCCTCAGCGGCCGCGGTACTGGCGTGGGGTCAAGTTTAATAACCCTGTCTTTCGCAGCACGGTAGATGCTGTGCAGGTGAGACCCTTGGACCTTATGGGAGAAGGGGACTAGATCTGGGCTGCGGGTTGGCTAGAAAGGGCCTGAGTCTGAATGAGGAGTGGTCCAGTTCTATTGCCAACAGGGCCTTCAGGGCGGTGACTGGTTATGAATGTATGGCAGGGGGGCCGGGATGTGCTGCGATTGTATGGCTATACAGAGGAACGTCCAGATGGATTGAGCTTCCCAGAAGGTCAAGAGGAGCCAGATGAGCATCAGGTTGCTACAGTCACACTGGAAGTACTGCTGCTTCGGACAGAACTCGGCTTGCTGTTGCAGGTGAGATGTTCCTCTAGTTCTGAGACCTTAAATACCAGGCTGGTAAGTCCAGCCTAACTAAAGTCAGTCTGAGGATTCTCGTGCTGCTGAATCATGGATCTTGTCCCCACAACAGTTTGGGAGCTCCCGGGTCGGTTCTTTCTGTGAACGTTGGGGAACCAGGTCTTAGAGAGTCTTGTTCTATCTAGAGCTCTAGGTGGGAACCCTTTTATCTTGTTTACAGAATACCCATCCAAGACAGAAGGCCCTGGAGCAGCTGCTAAAAGACAAAGTGGAAGATGATGTAAGGAAGGCAGGAAGGGTGCTGTCAAACAAAGGTAACAAGGAATTGTGGTACTCTGGGTCCCTAAATCCTTGCCCATTCTGTGCTTATTCTTCCTCAGATCCTGCAACTTTCAGAGTTTGACCCCCTACTGAGAGAGATTGCTCCTAGCCACCTTACCATATCCTCTGCCCCAGGTATTATTGGTCCTTTGGAGGGACAGTAACTATTTTGATGGAAATTTGGGGATACTTCCTTCTACCTTTTCTGTTATCTTTGTTGTTGCTCTTGTTGTTTTGTAAAGCGATTAAAATTATTTCATTGGGTCCAGATGTGCTAAAAAGTAGTCTTACGATTTGCTTTCATCCATAGTAGACTCAGATATACCCTGATCTTTTTAATAAACAATGTTTTGTTCTTTGGCTCCTATTTTCCAGACTCCACTCCTGGTCCCTGCTTTCTCTGTGGTTCTGCCCCAGGCACACTGCACTGTCCAGCCTGTAAGCAGGCCTCATGCCCAGCCTGTGACCGCCTGTTCCATGGACACCCATCACGTGCTCATCACCTCCGCCAGACCCTGCCTGGGGCCCTCCAGGCCACCCACCTGAGCCCCAGGTGAGAGGCTTTCTCTTCTTGGTGGGAGTAGAAATTAAGAAAATTTAAAATTATTTGTTTATCTATTGTGTGCAAGGTTCTGTATTAAAGACTGTTAATAAAGGATAAGCAGCTAATCACAGCTCTCAGGGAGATTATAAACGTATATATCAAACAAGTGGCAGTCACAGTAAGATACATTATTATGGTATACAGATCTAAAGGATAAGCTCAATCAATTGGCAGTGTTTTAATTACCTACTATAAGTCAGGCCCTATGTTGAAGATATTTATCTGGGAGAAATGGGCTATAGAGTATCATTTAAATGTTCAAGAGATAGAGAATAGCATGTGCAAAGAAGGTGCCCAGGGGCGAGGGACCCAGGTACCAGGTTCTACCTCAGCAGATCATATCTACTTTTCTATTACAGCTTATCTGCCTCAGCCCAACCACAGCCACATTCAACCTCCCTGTTAGCCCTAGGAGACAACTTTCTTTCTTCACCTGATCCTGCAAATGCCTGTCTTCCCTGGCACTGTGTTGCTTGTGCCATGCTAAATGAGCCTTGGACAGTGCTCTGTGTGGCCTGTGATCGGCCCAGAGGCTGTAAGGTATTGGGGTTGGGGATTGAGGATCCCCAAGGAACTGGAGGCCTAGAACCTGAGCTTTCACGAGGTCAATGGGCCTGCCAGAGCTGTACCTTTGAGAATGAGGCGGCAGCTGTACTATGTGCTATATGTGAGCGACCTCGGCTGGCCCAACCTCCCAGCTTGGTGGTAGATTCCCATGATGCTGGAATTTGTCTGCAGCCCCTTCAGGTAACCTCTTCCTGGTCTTTTTTATTTGTACATCGTACCTTAAATCATTCTCTACTTTCCCATTCCCTGTTTCCTTCAGTTCCTCCCCAGCTCCCTCTAATTACATCATGAACCTCAGCCATCCAGTTAATAGGATAATTTTCTCTACCTTCCCAGCAGGGGGATTCTTTGCTGTCCTCTGTCCAGACTCAAGTCTGGTACTGTATTCACTGTACCTTCTGCAACTCGGGCCCTGGCTGGGTGTGTGCTATGTGCAACCGGACCAGCAGCCCCATCCCTGAACAACATGCCCCCCAGCCCCATGCCAGCTCTTTGAAAAAAGAACTCCCAAAGCCTGGGCCTCCACGACATCTCAGTGCCCCCTTGCCCAGTTCCTGTGGAAACCCTGAGAAACAGCGCCAAGACAAGATGCGAGAAGAAGGTCTCCAGCTAGTGATCATGATCCGGGTAAGGACTGGGCCTAGGATGAAGTGGGACTGAACTGGCGGGGCAAGGAAGATGCTGTAACTTATAATAGGAGTTCTTATAAAACTTGTCATTGTTAGCAGCATCTGTTTCTTATTGAATACTTCCTACATGGCAGTTACTATAGTGTGCAGTAGTCATGTGACTGGCATGTCTGAGCCACTGTCAGCATCTTTAATGAGGGTGAGAGTGCCCCTGTTGATGGGTCTTCTGTCTGCGTGTGACTATCCCATAAGGAAGGAGAAGCTGCAGGGGCCTGCCCAGAGGAGATCTTCTCAGCTTTGCAATATTCAGGAACTGAGGTACCCCTACAGTGGTTGCGCTCAGAGCTTCCCTACGTGCTGGAGATGGTGGCTGAGATGGCTGGACAGCAGGACCCAGGACTGGGTGCCTTTTCCTGCCAGGAAGCCCGGAAAGCCTGGCTGGATCGTCATGGCAATCTTGATGAAGCTGTGGAAGAGTGTGTGAGAACCCGAAGGAGAAAGGTACCAGCTTTGGGGTTGGGGTTCCAGAGTCTCTCACATTCTCCCTTATTTTTCCCTTTTTACTTCCTTTCCCTCCTCCCAATTTGTAGGTGCAAGAGCTCCGGTCGCTGGGCTTTGGGCCTGAGGACGGGTCTCTTCAGGCATTGTTCCAGCATGGGGGTGACGTGGCACGAGCCTTAACTGAGCTACAACGCCAGCGCCTAGAGCCCTTCCACCAGCGCCTCTGGGACAGTGGCCCTGAGCTCACTCCGTCCTGGGATGGGCCAGACAAGCAGGTGCTGGGGTAGATGAGGAGCCCAAGAGCCCACCTAGAGATGCAAGTGGGAAGACTGAGGGAGAGGATCTCCTAGGATCTTACTACCACTTCTGTCTTCTCCACCTGAATCACATTACAGAGCCTTGTCAGACGGCTTTTGGCAGTCTACACACTCCCCAGCTGGGGCCGGGCAGAGCTGGCACTTTCACTGCTGCAGGAGACACCCAGGAACTATGAATTGTTGGATGTGGTAGAGGCTGTGAGACAAAGCCAGGATCGGGCCTTCCTGCGGCGCTTGCTTGCCCAGGAATGTGCTGTGTGTGGTTGGACTCTGCCCCGCAACAGAGTAAGCCACTCCCCACTATATCTGGCCTTAGAATGGCACTATTCCTTTTGGAACCCCCACCTCATTCCTATCTGATCCTCTCTTATTTTCTATAGTTGTCCAGATACTTCTGAAGGCTTCTGAGAAGGGGAGCACAGGAACAGGCTGCCTTTTCCCTTTCTTTCTTTCTATCTTTTTTTAATATTTGTTTTTCAGTTGTAGGTGGACCTAATATCTTTATTCATTTTTATGTGGTGCTGAGAATCGAACCAGTGCCTCACGTGTGCTAGGCAAGCACTCTACCACTGAACCACAACCCCAGCCCTGCCTTCTTCATTTCTTTAGATGTTCTATTATGGCAATTTTCAGATGTTATATTTGTCAGCTTTCTAGTACTATAACAAAAGCCAAAGATAATCAGCTTTTAAAAAGGTTTATTTTGGCTCACAGTTTTAGAGGTTTCAGCCTATGATTGGTTGGTTCGTTGCTTTTGCCTATGGTGGCACAACATGGAAGGAACATGTAGTAGAGCCAAAACACCTCACAGGAAAGCTGAAAAAGAAGAGACCAGGATCCCCACAAGGGCACACCTCCTCTATTACCTAAGGACCTCCCATTAGGCCCCACCTCCTGAACACATCACCCTCTCCAAGTAGTGCCCACCTGGAGAGCAAGCCTTTACCAAATGGACCTTTGGGGAGCACTTAGGATCCAAACTTTAGCAATTATACAACTTAAAAAAAAAAAGATTAGGAATGTAACTCAGTGGTAGAGCACCCCGTGTTTAATTCCCTATCTCCACAACCCCTCCAACTTCAGTGTACTTATCACCAAGCTTCAGCAATTATCAGTGTATGCCCAATTTGTATTTCATCTTTGTACATATGATTACTTTTGAAGCAAATCTCAGGTGTCATATAGTTTATCTGTAAATATTTCAGTGTATGTATCTAAAAGGTAAAAATCTGGAAAACACATCTATAATATCATGCCACACTAAAAAGAACTAACAATAATACAGTAATTTTTTATATTTATTTTTTAATTGTAGTTGAACACAATACCTTTATTCATTTATTTTTGTGTGGTGCTGAAGATTGAATCCAGGGCTTCACACATGCTAGACGAGCACTGTACCGCTGAACCACAACCCCAGCCCACAGTAATTGTTTTGGTCTTGTTTTGTTTTCTTCATTTTGAGACAGGGTCTAAGTTGCCTAGGCTGGCCTTGAACTTGGGATCTTCCTGCCTGGTCCCCAGAGTAGCTGGGGTTACAGATGTACTACTGCTCCAAGAATTCTGTAATGTCAGAGCCACTTCTTAAATTAGTCAGAATGGCAGTTCTTGGGCCAGTATGGTCTAGTTTAGTCTTGCTCTGTGTTTTGCTTTTATTTATTTATTTTTTTTTTAAAGAGAGAGTGAAAGAGAGAGGGGGACAGAGCGAGAGAATTTTAACATCCATTTATTTTTTCTTAGTTCTTGGCGGACACAACATCTTTGTTGGTATGTGGTGCTGCTGAGGATCGAACCCGGGCCGCACGCATGCCAGGCGAGCGCGCTACCGCTTGAGCTACATCCCCAGCCCCTTGCTTTTATTTTTTACTTGAAAATATACAGCTAGCACCAGCTGTATATTTTGACTTGGAAGGCTGAGGCAGAAGGATCACAAGTTTGAGACCGGCTTGGCAATTATAGTGAAACTTTGTCTCAAGATTTAGAAAAAAAGGAGGGGGGGCTGTGGATGTGGCTCAGTGATTAAGTACCCCTGGGTTCAGTACCTAATACCAAAAAAAACAGAAATATATCCAGTTGGTATTGGGCGGATACCTATATTCCCAGCAACTTAGAGCTGAGGCAGGAAGATCACAAGTTCCGAGGCTAGCCTTGTGAGGTTCTAAGCAATTTAGCAAGATCCTGTCTCAGAAAACAAAAAGCACTCCTGGGTTCAATCTCCAGTACCCCTCCCCCACAGAAAATCCATCTGGTAGAAACAGGCCCTTATCTCCTGAACCACTTCTTAAACTAGGTCACAATGGCAGTTCTTGGACCAGGATGGTCTAGTTTAGTCTTGCTCTGTGTTTTGCTTTTATTTTTTACTTGAAAATAGTAGTAGAGTCACAGAAAGTTGCAAAAATAGTACAGAGTTCTATGGACTCTTCACCCACCTTTTTTTTTTTTTTCTTAGTTTTTTCAGTGGACACAACATCTTTGTATGTGGTGCTGAGGATCGAACCCTGGCCATGCGCATGCCAGATGAGTGTGCTACCGCTTGAGCCACATCCCCAGCCCTTCACCTACCTTCTAATACTGACATATAATTATAGTGCATTATCAAGACCAAGAAATATGCCAGGTCTTGGGGTTGAGGCTGTGGCTCAGTGGTAGAGTGCTTGCCTAGCATATGTGAGGCACTGGGTTCAAACCTCAGCACCACATAAATAAAATAAAGGTATTGTGTTCATCTACAACCAAAAAGAAATATATTTAAAAAAAAAAAACAGGTCTGGTGCATACCTATAATCCTACTCGGGAAGCAGGAGGATTCCAAGTTCAAGGCTAGCTTCATAATTTTGTGAGATCCTATCTCAAAAATTAAAAGGACTGGAGATGTAGCTCAGTGGTAGAGTGCCCCTAGGTTTATCCTCACGTCTGAAAAAAAAAAAAAGAAAGAAAGAAAAGAAACATTCTAATTGTTCATTATTTGCTTGAATGTGTGTAGTTCTTTGCAGTTTTGTATAAGCTACATGTTTAAATTCATATAACTACCACTGTAATCAAAATACAGACTGCTGAGCCAGCACAGAGGTGCATGCTTATAATCCCAGCTACTCAGGAGGTTGAGACTTGCCTGTGCAATTCAGCAAGACCCTTTGTTAAGAAGGGCTGGGGAATATACCTCAGAGATAGAACACTCCTAGATTCTCTCCCCAGTGCTATAAAAATTATAAAGTAAATAAGTAAATGAAGATACAGATTGATAGTTGCCTCAAAGGAATTGTCTTTTACTGCCCCCTGTAGTCAGCCTTCAGTCTCCCAGCAACCACTAGTCTGTTCTTCATCTCTGTAGTGTTGTCATTTTAAGGTTTTTTTGTATGTTTGCTTTTAATTGAACGAATGCCTTCAGAGAAATTATTCCATTTACTTTTGCCATTGCCTATTTTCCTCCACTCAGCTGTCCTCAGACATTTGGGTTATTGAGTTGCCTACCTGGCACATGTTGGCATTTGGAGATGCTATCCCTGCCCAGTTAATTAGACCCTAGTTTCTCAGTGGACATCTGGCAACTGTCCCTTCCTTGGGTATAGCTTCTTACTCCCTCCCTTTCTTCTTCCATCTCTAGATGCAGGCTTTGATTTCCTGTGAATGCACCATCTGTCCTGACTGCTTCCGCCAACACTTCACCATTGCCGTGAAGGAAAAGCATATCACAGATATGGTGTGTCCTGCCTGTGGCCGCCCTGACCTTACAGATGACACACAGTTGCTCAGCTACTTCTCTACCCTTGACATCCAGGTACTGCAGCCCCTAGTGTTCAGGTGCCTATGCATCAAATAGGAATCCTACCTACCCACTGCCTCTGCATCCTGTCCACAGCTTCGGGAGAGCTTAGAGCCAGATGCCTATGCACTGTTCCATAAGAAGCTAACTGAAGGTGTGCTGATGCGGGACCCCAAGTTCTTGTGGTGTGCCCAGGTAAGTGCCCTGCTCATAACAACTGACTGTGGAGGAACAGGGGATGATGCCAGCTTGGTCCTCAAATAACTTTATGCTCTTGCACTCAGTGTTCCTTTGGTTTTATATATGAGCGTGAACAGTTGGAGGCAACATGTCCCCAGTGTCACCAGACCTTCTGTGTGCGCTGCAAGCGCCAGGTGAGTCATGTGCATTCTTTCATAAATATTTGCTAAACTATTGCTAAGTACTGCATTAGACTCATGGAGTATTTTGGAAGGCAGAATAGACATAAGCTCTGAGCTATAAGAGGTAGGAAGCCAGGCACAAGGAGAAAAGGAAGATGGTAGGGGTGGGGAGAAAAAGGGAGGAGGAAGTAGGGAAGAAAATCAAGGGAGAGGAGGAAATAATTATACATAGGCATAAGTTCTATGCAGAAAACAAGTAGGAATCTGACAGGAATGAGAGCATGGACCTAATGAAGACAGAGAAGTCTTCTCTAAAATGGTTTAGTTTAAGCTCAGGCCTGAAAGTTAAGCCATGCAGAAAATATTTGGGGAAAAGGAACAACCCAGGGAATGGCCAGAGTTAGAAAAAGTGTTGTGTGGCTGGAATCTTGAGAGCAAGGGTGAACCTGGGAGGTAGTTGGAGAAAAGGTAGCTGCCAGATCAGGATAGCCCTTGAGGTCAAGTGAGGCAGATATTTGCCTTTTATTCTGAGACTAGGCAAGGGGTGACGCTCTTATTTATCTTTTAAGAAGTTCAGTGTTTGAGCCCAGTGTGGTGGTGCATGTGTATAATCCCAGCTACATGGGAGGCTGAGACAGAAGGATTTCAAGTTCAAGGCCAGCCTGGGCAACTTAGTGAGACCTATCTCAAAATAAAAAGGACTAGGAGAATAGCTCAGTGGTAGAGCACCCCTGGGTTCAATCCCCAGTACCATGAAAAAAAATAAACATTTAAAGCATGATACTTAAAAACTTGCATCTCTTTTATGAAAGGTGATAATAAAATGAATATCCCAAACCCTACCACCCGACTTCAGAACTAGCACACTACTAATATGCTTCCTGACTTATACTTTGAAAGGTCTTTTGGCTACAGTGTGAAGAATAGGCGACTGGGGAGTAGAAGTAGTATCAGAGAGACTAATAATTCAAGCAAGCGATTGAGGCCAATATCTAATGATGGCTTGGGGTAAGATGGTAGCAGTAGCAGTAAAGATGAAGAAAAGGGACAGGGTTGAGATAGGTTTGGATGGTGAAAACAACAAGAGTTATGAATGAATTTGAAGTGGTGGGAAACAGTGAGGAAACCAAGATGGCTCCTCAATTTTAGGAATTGAACAAATGGTAGATGGCAGCAACATAAACTATGCTAGGTACCACTGGATAGATATAAGTGGGGAAACCAGCAAGAAAGGCAGGGCATTAGATAGAACTTCCATGCAAAACCTACTTTCCTTCTGCCAGTGGGAAGAGCAGCACCGAGGGCGGAGCTGTGAGGATTTCCAGAACTGGAAACGCACAAATGACCCAGAATACCAGGCCCAGGGCCTGGCAATGTATCTTCAGGAAAATGGCATTGGTAAGGCTGCCTCTCTGGACCTGTCTACTCAATAGTCTGTCATTGGCAGTAGCTCTCTTCTTGAGGGCCTTGAGTTGCAGTGGCAGCTCCAGCCCTAATCTAGTGTCCCTTACAGACTGCCCCAAATGCAAGTTCTCATACGCACTGGCCAGAGGAGGTTGCATGCACTTTCACTGTACCCAGTGCCGCCACCAGTTCTGCAGTGGCTGCTACAATGCCTTTTATGCCAAGAATGTGAGTTCAGAGAATGGGGAAGGAAGAGAAGGGTGAAGGGTGGGGGGCTGCCATTGGTTTGAGGGGCAGAGGCCATTGAGGAGTGACCCAGGTGAAGAGGAGGTCAGTGAGATGTAAAGTACTTCTCTCTCCTCTTTCCCCTTTGCTTGCTCCAGACCCTCCAGTGTCTCTATCTCCCCTCACCCCCTTACCTCTCACATAGGGGTTCTTGAGAGTCTAGGACCCCAGCAGTCTCCAACTACCCCTCTCCCATCTGGGTTTCCACCAGAAATGTCCAGACCCTAACTGTAGGGTGAAAAAGTCCCTGCATGGCCACCACCCGCGAGACTGTCTCTTCTACCTTCGGGATTGGACTGCTGTCCGTCTTCAGAAACTGCTTCAGGTCAGAGGTCCCCAGCCTTGCTGAGTTTGCAAGTTATCCAGGAAGAGGAGACAGAGTCCAGGGTGGGCAAAATGGAAAAGGCTGTGTGTATGCTAGGAGATGCAACAGTGACTGGCATCAGGGGACATAATGCCTATCTGTCTTTGCCCTTCCTCAGGACAATAACATCATGTTTAATACAGAGCCTCCAGCTGGGGCCCGGACAGTCCCTGGGGGTGAGTATCAGTACAGTCTCTGAGAAGGGAAGGTAGTGAGTTGGCTCCTACCATGTGGTAGGTAAAGTGGGGAGTCTTGTGTCTGGAATCACTTGAGTGCCTTTTGACAAGTTAATTAACCTCCTCATATCTTGTTTCTTCCTCTGTAAAATGAGAGTAATAATACCCTCCATGCAACTAAGCTATTTTATGTAAAAGATCATTAAAGCAGTGGTCCTTAATGCTGAGTTTCTTCTCACATTCTCAAATGGTAATGATTCATAAATGATAATGATTCATTAATTAACTCCATGAATAATGAGACCCGCTAGCTGAAGGGCACTGTTTTGGGTTCCTTGGGGGCAACAGAAAAATGTTACATAAGATTCTAACCTGCCTTACTTCTCATCATCTAGATAGAGGTAAGATCTCCTCAGAATAAGTTAACTGGTTATGCTGGAGCTAAATAACTACCAAGAGAGCCGTTTCATGGGCCAAAAGTCAGCTTGGATAAAAGTAGGAACAGAAAGGTCCCTGCCTCTGTATCAGAGTTGGTCTGCTGCTGATGGCGTCTCTGAGTATCTCCCACAGGAGCAAGAGTCCCTGTTTTCAGTCCCCTGTTTGAAATCTTCCTTCCCATGCTGCATGCATATCCCAGTTCTCCAGGGGCTTTGTGGTCAATGAGCTTCTCCTAACCAAAGGTTTCTTCTCTTCCCTTAGGTGGGTGCCGAGTGATGGAGCAGAAAGAGGTTCCCAATGGTCTCAAGGATGAAGCTTGTGGCAAAGAAACCCCACCTGGCTATGCCGGCCTCTGCCAGTAAGTGCCAGGCAGGGCATGGAGCATGATGTTGGAAATGGGGAAAGAAATGGTGAGGGTATGCCCAGGCAGTAAAATGGGAACAGGAGATCCTACAAAGAGTAGACAAGGGCATGGATGGGTAGTAGCAGGCAGCATACACTTGTTGGCTCTGCCTAGTCTAGCTTCCCTGAGGATTCCAGTGTTCATCAAGGTGCTAGGCACACTCAATTAATATTAGCCAACAGAAGAACAAATAGTCTGCTCTTTCATAACCCCAGGGCACACTACAAAGAATATCTTGTGAGTCTCATCAATGCCCACTCATTGGACCCAGCCACCCTTTATGAGGTCGAGGAGCTGGAGACGGCTACTGAGCGATACTTGCATGTGCACCCCCAGCCACTGGCTGGAGAAGATCCCCCTGTCTACCAAGCCCGCTTGTTACAGGTAAAGCCTTCACCCAGCCTTTCCCTTGACACCACCCTCTGGAAGTCTCCTGTCCCATCCTGTTTCTGATCTCCAGGCTTCTGTTATCATTATCCTTTCTCCTTCTACAGAAACTGATGGAAGAAGTGCCCTTGGGACAGAGTATCCCCCGAAGGAGGAAGTAACTGAGGGCAAAGGTCCTGATGAGGGTCTTGTGGCCCAGCTCCCTCAGGAACAGCTCCAGCACCAATAAAGAGGCATCTTATTGCCCCAGCTTCTTGGTGGTCCTTCTTCCTGGCCCCACCATCTAGGGGCACCAGGGAAAGGGGGGTGAACAGAGTTTGCTTAAAGGGCCCCCTGCAGCCTACCATCTGATTCACTCTGGACCCAGGGCAAGGAAGAAATTGACATATGGATGGGCAAGTGAGGACCTCCCCATCCAACCACCCAGCCTAGGCTTCTTCCGTTCCTTTCTCCCTTCATCATTCCATCAAATTCTGCTGGTATTTGAGGTCCCCAAGAGGGCACTATGGGGGAACACAGATGTGCAACACAACGATCCAGAGGAAATGGCCTCACTGGGGAAGCAGCAACATCACACAGAGAAGGTTAGCTATAAGAAAGGAGTGTAAGAGGGAAGAAGAAGAGAGGAAGGAGCCAGACAGGAGTTGAGCCTGCAGAAAGTGGTCCTCCTTTTCTGACAGTGGAATTCTGACAGTGAGGCTCTCAGATGTTGCTTCCCCCTAGTGGTAGCCAGTTGCCCTACAACTCAGACCATGTGATTTCTGGGAAAAGGACCTCCCAGGAGGAAATAGAAACTTAGAGGGTGGGGACTGCAGAGACGGGTGGAGAAATCAGACTGCTTAGGCTCAAGCAGAGTTTAGGCTTTCCGATCTCTGAGGCACAGCAATTCAGGTAAGAGCAGACAAGATGGATTTTTTTTCCTGGGATCTGGAGCTAGTAGGGGTTGGTGGCTCCTGGGACGCTTCTGCCAGGCAGAGAGAGAAAAGCCTGAGAGTCAGTAGGAGGTTTGGCCTGAGTGAAAAACTGATAAGGGCCAGTACCCTAGGCCCCTGTAGGCAAGGGCCATAGAAAAACTCATTTGTCTATGGAGGAAGGTTCTTGGCCCAACCTCAGATTACCCTGTTTATTTTCTTGCTTTTTGGCCCTGCCCACTTATGCTGAAACTCCACCCCTATCTCCCCCCTCCTCATGGCCCCTGGGCAAAGGAGAGATAGGGGTCAAAGGATAAATTTTAAGAGTGGCAGGTGCAAAAGTTTGATGGACATCTCAGAAGGATATAGCTTCTGCAGAAATTTAGCAATCTAGACAGAGCCTCTGACCAGAATATCAAGGGAATTCTCTCCTAAACAATACATATCTGAAAAGTCTTGAAATTAAGACCTGTGGTTTTCTTCCAAATATCAACTCCGGACGTTAGAGGTTGGTTTGTTTTTTTGTTTCTTTTTTTTTTTTTCTTCTTCTTGGTACTGGGGAATTGAACTTAGGGGTGCTTAGCCATTGAGCACCTTTTTCACTTTTTTTCCACTTTGAGGCAGTATCTAGCTAAGTTGTTTAAGGACTCCCTAAGTTACAGTGGCTGGTCTTGAATTTGTGATCCTCCTGCCTCATCTCACAAGTTGCTGAGATTACATGTGCCACCATGTCCAGTGAATTTTTTAAAAATAATAATTGTTAGTGGTAGCAGAAACAAAATAATTTTGCCTCAGAGAATATAGAGGTATGTCTAGAGCCAAAAGAAGATGCATGGGTCTGAGCTGTTGTTAGAAACTGACCTCAGTGGTCAGAATCTTAACAGATGTTCTCTCACAGTGTTAGTTCTGATGCTTCTTGCTCCTCTTATCTCTCAGGATGGCAACAGGCAGGGCACGTTCTACGCGAAAGCTCCGGAATTGGGTGGTAGAGCAAGTGGAGAGTGGGAATTTCCCGGGAGTGTGCTGGGATGACACAAATAAGACCATGTTCCGGATTCCCTGGAAGCACGCAGGCAAGCAGGACTTTCGGGAGGACCAGGATGCTGCCTTCTTCAAGGTGAAGGGCCTGGAAGCCACCATCCCCCCCCAAGCAAGAAATGGAGTATACCATGGCATACTTCCCCTTGAGCACCTTTATCTACCTGGATTTCAGACAAAGAGCATATTGGAGAGTAGAACCAGCTGTGTCATTTGCAGAGCCCACATTAAACATTTATTAAGCATTGCAAGATGGCAACATGAGAACACAAACCCATTCCAAGCCCATCTGAGTTAAGGGCCTATGCAAGTGCTCAGGCTGCACACCTGTAAAGCCAATAGTGTTGGAGGGACAGCTGATATATGTGACATGTTGTCTCTTCTTTGCTTCCTCTCTTTACTAGGCCTGGGCTATATTTAAGGGAAAGTCCAAGGAGGGCGACATAGGAGGCCCTGCTGTCTGGAAGACTCGCCTGCGCTGTGCCCTCAACAAGAGTCCAGAATTTGAAGAAGTTCCTGAGAGAGGCTGTATGGATGTTGCTGAACCCTACAAGGTATATCGGCTGCTGCCACCAGGCACTCTCCCTGGTAAGTGTTCCCTTGTTGAACCCTTCCTAGAATCAGCTGCCTGGAGCAGAAAGATGGAGATACCAGTCTCTTAGGAAGGTGGTGGTTCTCCCCCCAGCATCTCAGAGTCTGCCCTGTCCCTACCTTTGGGAAGCTGCTATCCAGATTCCCTTTCCAGTCCTGCCCATCCTTTCACACTATAGACCTCTCCTCTGCCTTCTTTTCCTGTCTTTCCTCTCAACAATTCCACAGCCCACCCAGAGACCCAGAAATCACCATCAAAGAGATGCCACAGTTCCGTGTCCTCTGAGAGGGAGGAGGAGGAGGATACCTCGAACAATTGCACACTCAGTCCCAACTATCTCCAGGACCCCCTCAATAATGTGAGAGCTGGGTGGTGGTGGTAAAAGGTGGGAGAGTTAGGGGGTGATAGTAAAGGGTGGGCCTAAGAGTAGTACAGGAACTAGAGAAATGGGCTCATGATAGATGCTATATCTGCAGGAGGTAAGGACTAATGGGGAAGCAAGCCACTCAGACAGTAGAAGCAGTAGCAGTAGCAGCAGCAGCAGCAGAAACAACAGCCCTGAGTCACAGGAAGGTACTACCTCCCCTGCCTCTGTGTTGTCTACCTTGCCACATCCTCTGGCCCTTGGACTCCCCAGTTCCACTCTGAATAACCAGTGTCTCTGCTTCCCTTCCAGGTGTGGATACCACTGAGGCTACTGTTCAAGAGGATCAGGTATCCATGGAGCATCTCCCCCCTCTGAACTCAGGTACTTGGCATTTCTGACTCTTTCCTGCTCCCTTTCCCTCAGATATGCTTCCTTTGACTTTGCATGCATGTCTAGTCCACCAGTTACAGCAAACTGAGCCCACCTTATTTAGACAGAGGCACTGGTTTCTAGGCAGTGAAAATTCCATGTACTTGGCCAGACCCCACCCTACATGCTCTGTTCCCTGGATATCCATGTTGAGACATTGATTTCTTTGGGTTTAGCAGAGGCCCAGTCTTCAGGGACCTTCTTGTAAATGCAAGACCTCATCCTTGAGTTTATAAATTGCATTAAGTAAGCACTGATATGGGTGAACCCATATGCTAGCTGATTTTCTGAATAACAAGAAAACCCAATAGGAAGCTCCTAACTAGCCACCTCAGAAAGTGCAGTTGCTGCCCTAGCCCTAGAGCCTCCTTTGTCTTCCCCAGCCTTTGTTTGGTTTCCCTTTCTGGACCTCATTAGCAACATGAGGACATAAGATGGCAAGAAGCTCTACTTCGTTTTCTTAAAGCCCGTGTTGACCAGGTGTATCCCTGGGGGTTGAGGCTGCTATAGCCTGCATGCTCCTCCAGGACCTGGTGCAGCTCTGCTTTTCTGTCCCCAGACTACTCGCTGCTGCTCACCTTCATCTACAGTGGACGTGTGGTAGGTAAAGCCCAGGTGCACAGCCTGGACTGCCGCCTTGTTGCTGAGTTCTCAGACTCCAGGAGCAGCATGGAACAGGTTGTATTTCCCAAGCCTGACCCATCAGAGCCCATCCAGCGCCTCCTGAGCCAGATTGAGAGAGGCATCTTGGTGGCCAGTAACTCCAGAGGTCTCTTTGTACAACGCCTTTGCCCCATCCCCATCTCCTGGAATGCACCTCAGGCCCCACCTGGGCCAGGCCCGCATTTGCTACCCAGCAATAAGTGTGTGGAGCTCTTCAGGACCACCTATTTCTGCAGAGGTAAGACTGCTCCAGCTGGGTACTTAGGCCTTGCCCCCTAGCTCTTAATATTCCCTGGGTCTGATTTGATGGGTCCTGCCACCAGCCTGTCCAGCAGATCCTCACTGTAACCTGTGCACATCCAGTGTAGTCATAAACTCATCCCTGGCAGCTCTCCTTCCCTAGCCAAGGTCATGGAAGATTAGTTTCGGGTGGAGCCTAGTATGAGAGTCACATTTTGGGGAACATCATCACTTTGAAGGATACTGTAACTATATGAAGTTGAGTGAACAAGTCAGCACAGAGATTTTGGGGCCATCTCCTACATACTCACTGGCACATACAACTCTGCATGTGTGGGAGAGCCAGTGTACCTTATATGCCCTGGTGCACTGCCCCTGTCTCTGCCACGCTCCAGTTATCCTCTAAAGCTATCTCTCTCTCCCATCCAGTCTTGTAATTCTAGTTGCCTCCATTCAACTCTAAATCTGACCTTAGGAGTTAGAGTATGGGTGTTCCCAGATCTGTGGGTACCCTAGTGCTGGAAGGGTGTGAGCAAGCAACAAAGGTGTTAGCAACCAGGGCTGCTGCCTTTGAGGATGCTAAACTCTCAGTGGAGAATTTTTCAAGTTGAGCTGCTACCTCTAAACACTTTTTGAGGAACGGGCCCCCTTTCCTATTTGCACATGGGCAAGTAGCAGCTTAGTTTATAGCATTCCTCCTGTCCCACAGCTCCTTCTTTGGCCTTGGTCTCCATGTGGCCTCACTCCTAACTCTATTTCTCCAACATGGATTCTTTGATA